CCGGCCTCCCCACCTCCCGGTCGGGTCCCCGCGGCTTTCTCTCTCCGTATTCCTCCTGGGGGTTTGGGGTGAGAAGCAGCGCGCAGGGGGAGGAGGAGGGGAGGAGATGCAGAAATAGCATCTGTGCCAACTTTCTTAGAAGTTATTTTTCATAAATACTTTTAAAGCAAAACCCTCCTTCTCTCCCCATCGCGTTCCCCCTGCCCCCCCCCCCCGCCCCGGGGGCCAGTTTCAAAAAGTTTTCAAGGAGGAGCCGCGCGGGGCTGGGCGCAGAGTGGAGGCAGCCTGGGTGGTGCGGGGCCTCTCTCTTCCCTCCCTCCCGCTGCGCCCCCGTCCCCCCGGCGGAGCCCTCCAGAGTGCGCGCTGGCTCACACCCGGACACTCACCCACACTCCGCCCCCTTCCTCACCTGGACGGCCCGGTACCCCAGCCGGGGAAGTTCGGCTGTCCTCCTCCCCCACTCAGTGCCGGCCCCCAGCCTCCGCGCTCCTTCCTCCCGCCCATTCTCCCGCTCCAGGTGTCGCTAGAAGAGGGCGGCGGGTCCGTGCTAACCCCTGGGTCCCGGGATCACCCCCACCCAGGGAGCAGCAGGGGAGGGAGCGAAGCGGGGCTGGGAGTGCCTGGCCTGGACTGAGGGCGGGGATTTGTGCTGAACCTCGCGACCCCCTCCTCTCTAGCCCCCGTCCCTGCAGTCGGCGGTCTCTCTCTTTCTGGCCTCTCTCCCCCTCATCTTCCTCCGCTTCCCAGGCCTTGGGGGGTGGGGGGGTTGGCTCGAACTTGGGGAAGCTGAGGAGGGTCAGGAGGAGGGATCTCCTGGGAGGGGGGCGCACGCCGCGCCACCCCAGCTCTGCCGTAGGTGCTGCTGCTGGTGTGATGGCGGTACGCTGCGCGCTCCCTCTCCCATCACCTCTCCTTCCACCGCCGGGAGCCCCGCTAGAACGGCCCCCGCGGACCTCCGCTGCCCGGTGGGGATGGGGTGGGGTGGGGAGACAGGTTTGCAGGTGCGGAAAGCGGGTAAGGGAGTAGCCAGATGCTGGCAGGGGGCTGGGGAGGAGCCAGGTGTGCAGAGGCGCCCGAGGTGGCCAGAGCCCAGCCCTACCTGATCCACAGCCCCCATGGCCCTCACACAGCCGCCTCCCCGCAGGTCGGACACTGGGAGAAGTTAGATTCACTCCTGCAGGGGCAGGGGTGTGTGTGTGTGTGTGTGTGTGTGTGTGTGTGTGTGTACACGCGCGGCAGGTGACCCGAACTCCTCCGCCCGGTACCGTGCACGTGCGCGCTCCCGGTACCGCCACAGAACCTGTCCCTGTAGGGTCCCCATCCCCCTTCCCCTGTCCCCCTGCCCGCGACCCCACCCTTCCTTCCAGGGGCACCATGGGAACCCGAGGGGGAGATTTTTGTGTAATTCCTGCCGCTGTTCAGGGGGAAGGAAAAACAAAGGGACCAAAGGCAATCCCACAGCAGTTTTACATCAGCCTTTATTATTGTCACGTAATACAAGTTTATATACAGGGAATGCTCCCAGCAAACACTCACCAAATGTCCTCCAAGTCAGCCCCCCTCCCCCCTCCCCCCTCCCGACCCTGCCCTGGGCAGCTCTGCTCAG